CCCTGGGTGAGTGCCAGTGGGCAGGGGCTGGAGGAGCTGGCGGGCCCTCCCGGGGTCTCCCCCACCCCTGGCTCCTGCCTAGGGACCCACGCTGTCTGGATGCTCTTGACCACCCGTACACCACGGCTGAGGGAGCGCGCTAAAGCTCAGCACCTCTGATTTACGTTGCCTGTTACAGGGGTGCCCAGCCTTTCGTTGGCACCGGTGGGGCTGGGTGACAGCCTGGGGGCTGGATCCAGCCTCATGAGGCAGGATCAAGCCCCGTGTGCCAGGATTTGGGCCCTGTACCATCTCCCTGAGACCTTCCTGCTGCCCTCAGCCCCAAGCTGCAGGGTCGTAGCCCACAGCACCTCTAGGCAGCTCCTGTGTCCCTGGATCAGCCCTGTGCCACCTCCGCATACAGATCCAGCGTGCCATCTGGCCTGCTGTGCTCCCCCAATGCCAGAAATTTGGCAGCAGGAGCGTGGCAATTGCTGCTACCATTGCCCCATGGCAAAGGTGTGTACCTCTGAGGAGCCCTGTGGGCCAAGTGGCATGGCTCTGCAGGTTAGATCTGGTCCATGGGCTGGGGGTTGAGCACCCCTGGTGTATAAGGTGCAAATCTACTCTATCTTCTGCCCTGTGCTGTTAGCCAGGGGCTGACCTGCAGGCCAGATCTGGGGTGCGGAGCCTTCGGATGTGACCTGCAGAGCTGTGGCTGTGGCAGCCTTCAGCGGCAGAGGGGTTGTGCCCATGCTGCATCACAGGCGGGTGGCAGGGAGACAAAGCAGCAGCAGCAGCTGTGTCCTGATTCCCACCTTCCTCCAGTGGAAGCTGGGTCAGTGTGGGCCCCTGCTGGAAAACACTGCTGACCCAGTGCTTCTTCTCATGTCCTGTCACCATGTTCAAATTTGAGTCCAAGAATAGGCACATGCTCTTGCTCGATCTGTAGCCTGAGCAAAGTCCTCGTTGGTGGATGGTTCCTCCATATGTGAGCAGGCCAGCAGGTGTTCTGTAGTGTGAAAGTTTCCTCCACATTCACAAAGGGGGGTTGTGTCATTAAGAGTATCCCCACAGCTGTGTGTTAACTTTACACTTACCTCTGTTCAGAGGCAATTCAAGCTCCTCCATGTCGGGCAATCAAGCTCTGAGTTTTCACAGAGAGATCTGATAGTGTTGATATTCATCCTAACTCCCTCCTAGATCATTTTTAGTCATGACTGCTCTTCACTTGGGAGAAGAAGGTTCCCCATTTTTCCTTCCTGGCCATGGTGGGTGTTGTTGATCCCAGCTGCTTGCTTTCTCCCATGATCCTCAGCACTGCTGTGAGGGCATCATAGCTTTAGGATCATGGATTCTCCATTAGGTTGAGCTCTCTTTTCCAGTAAGAGGCCAGCGTCTCCACAGTGTCCCAAGGCTAAGCATACGCAAACCGCTGGCTAATGGTACGGGAATCATTTTTCTGTCTCTGAGTCTGTGTTTAGGGTTGGTGGTAGTTTTATGAAGAGGTTAGATTATGGATTGTACAGGATGGTTGGGATGATCCTGTCCAGGCAGGGGGTTGGACTTCATGACCTCTGGAAGTTTCTTCCAGCCCTACCTGTCTATGATTCTGTGTTTCTCAGGACACCTGGATGGATACTTTTAGAGGCATTCATTTGTCAAAAAATATTCCCTGGCATTTCATTTTCAGAACAGGTCAGATGCGAATTTCAAGCACCATTGCACTCTGGAAAGTGATTTTGTGAAAATGGCCCTGTGACCTGCCATGGCTATTTCTCATTATATATCAAATGCACTTCATTTGCAAAGTTCAAATGTGTTTCCTAACTGTGAATGTGACATTGAATCACAAAGTCAGTCTGGGTTCCTGCTGGCTCACATTTCCCCCAGAAAAAGACTCTGTAATGAGTATTTAGTGAGGGATGCTGTGGATACGGGGTGAAGTAGTCCGGAATCTACTTCACTCTTCCATATTTCCCTCAGTTTTGCACTGCTAATGGCAGGTAAGTGGAATAAGGATTTGTTCTAGTCAATATAATAAGCAGGTATAACTCTGAGCAATGAAGAGCAGCAATATGAGTAAGACCAGTACATTTTAGCATAGTTTGTTTTTCAGAGCAGAACTGCCTTTTAAACCAAGTGAAATTAGATATCCATGTCCAAACAACTCTGAACCTAGGATTTCCTTAGATTGCTAACCTGTAAAGGTTTGTGCACCTGCTTAGCTTTATGCACTGAAATCAATGGAGCAGCTCACAGTGCTTAAAGTGTTATATTGGTCTGTGCAGGGTCAGTCCCTTAGAAACCAAATCTGAATGATTTGATTTGTAGAAATAAAAAAAAAATCACTGAATTGTAGAGGGTAATTAGAAGTGTTGTCATTAGAAATTGTGCATCCATTGTTTCCTGTTATCCTGAAAAGCCTTTTATATCAACCCCCAGGGTCCTCAGCCAGATCCTCTTGAAGTCCAAAGGCAGGAAGAGGAACGCAGAAAAGCACGTGCCAGAAAGCGGGCAAAGGAGCATCTGCAGACAAGAACTCCTGAGCCTGTAGAAGGCAGAAAGCACATTGATGTGCAAACAGGTCTGAAAGGCCTATGGTATCCGTTTTATTTCATTAATGGGAAAGGGGAGAAGGTAGTAACACATAGAATTAAGGTGTCTCACTATTTCCATTGCAACACCTGGCTTTCTCTTGTTCATAACTTCAACACTTACCATGTGTACTCAGATCCAGAATGAGGTTCCCCACCCCCATTCAGCAACCAGGGGGAACAGAACCACATCTTGGATTCAGATACTGTCCTGGGGTAAGCAGGCTGCTGGGAAATGGCAGGGGGAACATGCAGCAAGAGGGAAGGTGCAAGGGGGCACAAGCACCGTGTGGGAGGGGGAAAATAGGAGTGCAGGTAGTAGGGGTCAAACACTGGTGGGGGGAGGGGAAAGTGACAGGAGAAACAGGCACCCAGGAGCCAGGGGCACAGATACGAAGGTAGGGCAAGTGGTGAGAGGAGTAGGTAGGGGAGCAAGTGGCCAGGGCAGGCAGGCATGGCATGGGGGGCGCAACTGGTGGAGAGGCAGGCAGCAGAGTGACAGGCACAGGAGTGCAGGAAAGAGTGCACAGGCACCAGGGAGCACGTGGCAGAGTTCCAGGTGCAGGGGTTGGACTGCTTGCCTCCCCAACACCTGCCCCCACACTACTGTTTTCCTCACTGCCTGCTCCCCTGCCACTGCTTTCCCCACCACAGCTGCTAGAGGACAAATATAAGAGGACCTTCCAAAAATTAGATTCTATACAGAGAAAATTCTAATAAAATTTATGATTTTCCATATATAGAATCTCTTTTTGCAGGAGTTGTCTTAAATTCCAAGTCATCTTGGATTCAGGCAAATAAAATTTCCAGGTTTAGTGTCTGCTGCAAAACCTGCATAAAAAATAATGCAGCCATTTCCAAGAGGAAGGGTACTATTAGAAACCAACCCCGAACAGCTGTTTTTTTAACAGGACTGTAGCCCACAAGTGTTTGTGGTAGAAACTTGAGTTTTGGCATTGAGGCAGTGATGAGATCAGCGTGGTGCAAATTGGTTCATATTTGACAGGAAAAGTTGTCCGTTGTGAGTACTTGGCAGACGTGTCCCTAAGTTTTTGAATATTTCAGTGGCTTCCCAGTCCTGCTGAGCTCCCTGCACTGTTTGTCAGCTGCAGTAGCAATGCCTTTTCTCTATTTAAATACCTTTTGACGTAGGGGGAAATTCACTGATTGGGAGCTACTATTCAGCTCTTACCTTTTCCTCTGACCCGTGTGAATGTTGTTCACTTCACAGCCCTTATTTCTGAGCAAGGCCTCATGCCTCTTACCCTAGGAGGCAGGCAAGTGGAATTCCCCTTGTCTAGACATACATTTTGCATGTGTGCAACTTCTCAGATTCTTAGCTACCCTGAGGTCATTTCTGAGAGAGTTCAAAATAGAACCCAACAGATCCAGTCTCATCCACTTTGCCACTGACTCTCAGAATGAATACACTGAAAAAGAAAACACATGTGTTTCAAATATATCTAAATAGCATATATGCTACCAGTGACCTTTTTCATCTTAACTTATAAGAATTAACCCCACCTGAACATAACGTAAGAATTGCCATTTACTGGGTCAGACCATAGGTCCATATTGCCCAGTATTCTGTCACACACTGGCACAGAGTGAATGTTGAAAAAGAGAATAAACTGGGTATGACCAGGGTGGTTTTTTTCTATTGTTCCTCTCTCACTGGCCTTTAAGGTCTAGGAAGTTCTAATACAGAGGCTGTATCCCTAGCTCCCATGCTCCGTAGCTACTGATACCCCTTTCCTCCAATAATTTGTCCAGTCTCTTTTTGAATCTGGCTAAACTGTCAGCTTCCACAACATCTGGTGGCAATGAGTTCCACACTTTAGTCACACACTGTGTAAAAAAGAACTTCCTTTTGTTAGTTTTAAACCTACTGCCTACTAGTTTCATTTTGTGACCCCTAGTTCCTGTTTTGAGAGAAAGTAAATAATAAGTCCCTGTTTACTTTCTCTTTGCCATATAGTATTTTGTAAACCCTTATCACATCTCCCCTCAAGCATCTCTTTTCTAAACTGAATAGGCCTAGCCTCTAAAGTCTCTTCTCATATGGAAGCCCCTCCATACCATTAATCATCCTGGTTGCCCATCTCTGGATCTTCTCTGGTTCTTCTCTATTCTTTTTGAGGTGAGGGGACCAAAACTGGGCACAGTATTCAAGGTGTGGACACACCACAGATTTATAAAGGGGCATAATGAAACTTTCCATTTCATTTACAATTCCCTTCTTAATAATCCCTAACATCGTGTTTCCCTTTTGATGGCTGCTGAGCACTGAGCTGATTGATGATTGCAATGAACTGTCCACAGTGATTCCAAGAGCTCTTTCCTGTGTGGTAACAGCTAATGGAGAGCCCAGCATAGTGTAGGTATACAATTATTTACACTGAATTGCATCTGCCACTTAGTTGCCCATTTGCTCAGTTGTGCCAGATATTTCTTTAGTTCCTCATAGTCCTCCTTGGTCTTCACTACTTTGAATAATTTTGTGTCATCAGCAAATTTGGACACCTCACTACTGACCTCCTTTTCCAGATCATTTATGAATATGCTAACTAGCACTGGTCCCAACACAGATCCCTTGGGGGACCCCCCCGTTTGCTTCTTTCCATCCTGAAAGCTGACCATTTGTACTTAATCTTTGCTTTCTACCTTTCAGCCAATTTATAATCTGTGAGTGGACGTTCCCTGTAATCCCATGACTACCCAATTTAGTTAAGAGCCTCTGATGGGCGACCCTGTCAGAGACTTTTTGGAAATCCAGATATACTGTGGTAACTGGATCGCTCTGATCCACCCACTTATTGACAACCTGAAAGAACTCTAGTAGGTTATTGAGGCATGATTTTCCTTTGACAAAGTCATGTTAATTCCTCCTCAGCAAGTCATGTTCATCCATATGCTAAACAATTCTTTTTATTATTGTTTCTACCAGTTTTCCAAAAGCAGAAATCAGGCTCACTGGCCTGTAGTTCCCTGCATCCCCTTTAGAGCCTTTTTTAAATATGGGAGTCATATTGGCAAGCCTCCAGTCTTCTGGTACCAAGGAAGTTTTTACTGATAGGTTGCATACTACAGTTAGAAGTTCAGCAGTTTCCTATCTGAGTTCCTTCAGGACCCTAGGGTGAATGCCATCAGGTTCTGGTGATTTGCTACTGTTTAATTTATCAATTTCCTCTACAACCTCAGCCAAACACCGCTGCTGGCCATCTTCTTCACATAAGGGGGCCCCCAAAAATTGTGGGCCAGCCCTGACTAGCTTCCTCATTTTGGTGTAGTCTCCCTTTTTAAAGTTAAAAGCTACTTGTCTCCTCTCCAACATGGAGGTTCCTACCTGGAACGGTTTATATCTCAAAGTGAGCTGAAATCTAGGAATTAAGACTTAGGCTAAATGATTTCACCTACTTCTGAAATCTGCCAAATGAAATATCATTGTATGGACTGTGTCTAATTAAGTAAACCAGACCTTATGGACCACATGATAATGGCAGGTGTTAAACAGGAAATTGGCATAGATTTTAAGTCGATTCTTTATCTTCTTAACTAATCATTATATTGTACCTTATTTTGGTATAATTAACTTATCATTTAGTTTGCCAAATTATATTAATGGTTTTTAAAGCAAGACAGAACCCTACATTCCATATTCATTATGATTTTGCTTTGTAGAGTTATATTTGGAAGAGCTTGGTGACCGCATAATAGAAGTTGATGTGGAGTGTCAAACAGATGCATTTCTGGACAGGCCGCCTACTCCACTCTTCATTCCAGCTAAGACAGGGAGAGATGCTGCTACACAGATACAAGAAGGAGAGGTACAATGCAAATTTTCATCTCTAAGTACCATAATCAGACTTCTTTTAGATTAAAAAGTTTGTGATACAAAAAGTTTAACTAAGGCAAAAACGTTTCAGAAACATTGAGGATATTCCTTATAGAGAGATTTAAAAATCCCCAAAATGTCTAGCATTGTTTACTGTAAGGATATCTTCAAAGTTAAGGAAGAGTCGTCTTCTTCAATTATATCATTTTAGGAGTACTTCTTAGAAGCAAAAATTAAATAATTTAGAAATACTACTGTGTGCACAAACAATAAAATTAATGGACACTAAAGATGTCCATGGGTGCATGACTAGGATCCGGTTCAGCTTCCTGGCTCTGACTGCGATACCAAGATCAACTATGGTTTGAATTAGTCTGTTGATTGGGCCTATCAGACAGACTGAGACCTATTGTATCTTGCTATGGGTGCCTTTTTAAAATGAGGAGAGTGTTAAAGTTCTCAGACAGAAAATATTTGAGCGACTGAAGTGGTAGAAGCTGCCCCTGAGGAAGAGCAAGAGTGGCAGAATCTTAAGTGCAGTTGATGTGTCTGTCAGGTTACAAATAACATCATAGTCATGCTTACTAGTGTTTCATTTGTATCATCTTTGTTCTTGCAGGAATAAACTTTTCTGTTCATCTTGATAAGACTTAGAATTGATTGAAATCTAGAATCATGTAGCTCATTTACTTTACTTATGTCTTCAGCTGTTTGACTTTGACATTGAAGTCAAACCAATGCTGGAAGTTTTGGTTGGAAAAACCATTGAACAAGCTTTGCTGGAAGTGATGGAAGAAGAGGAGTTGGCCAATCTGCGGGCACATCAGTACGCATTTGAGGAACTGCGGAATGCAGAGCTTGCTGAAGTACAACGCCTTGAAGAACAGGAGCGGCGCCACAGAGAGGAAAAGGTATGGAGCACAGGGAGTAAACCAGGGCTGTCTAAACGTTCAAGGTCTTTATTTTCATTTACTGACAATCATATATTCATTTGGCTTTTCTCCTCTTATGAGAACCTGAGAAATGCCATAGTGACATTTCATAGGTTTGTCTAGCCCAATATCCTCTTTGAACAGTGGCAAGTAGCAAATGCTTTAGAAGGAGAGTGTATGAAGGGTGAATGTCTAGAATGATCCATTCCCTTTCAGGCCCTCCCTAGAGCTAACTCTTATGGGTAGGGATGTCAGGGAATACATCCCTGACTGTTCTATTCAATAGTTCCCAAAGGACCCATCCTCCATTAATTTATCTAATCCTGTCTAGGACCCTGTTATATTATCTGTCTTTCCAACTTCAGGCAGAGCTGGGAGAGTCAATCAACTTCATGGCTGATTAGAATCTACTTGATTCCTGCTAACTGTTCTTCACTCAACAGGTGTTAATGATGTACTCTACTTTTTCATGGTCTTTCTGTCCTTTGGTCTATCTATACTTCTTTCCTTTCTTCAGCAGTTTGCCTGAACTATTTGCAGTGTAGCTATTCTTGTCTCTTCTCTTTCACAGACTTGCAGACTACTTTTAGCTCTTTTCCAAATCCTAGCTCTGCCCATGGCGTCCCATCTTCAGCAGCAGTTATAGTTTCAGCTTTTGGCAGAGCAGCTGACAATTCAACAGTGAAAGTTATGGTTGCATACAGCAGAGAGAGAGTCTTATTTGAGGGAATTTGATGTATGAGACAATACGGTCTGTTTCATATATTTAAAAAACTACTGTAAAATTGGACAACTGTAGTTTGGTTCATTGCTTCTAGTTCTGCATACATCAGCAGAATGCAGCAGCATTCGTTTGGAGCACTAATATTCCAGTTGGAACACAACCCCTTCACAGTAACATTCTACTAAATAGGGATTAACCCAATATTATTTTGCCTTAGGTATGTGATTCAACAATTAGTCAAGGAGTTAATTTTGAGAGGTTCATAGAGATGCCCCTTAAATTAATGCTTGCAGTACTCTAAAATTAAAAAGAGACTTTTCAGCCTGTCAGTAATAGGATGCTGAGCTTAAGAAAAGCCTGTGCATACTCAGTATCCTATTACTAACACCCATGGTGTTTGTTTTTAAATTCTGAGTAGGCATTTGTGTTATTCTTTTAGAATGCTTACACCAAAAACCTGAATAATGCATTTTTAGACTTAAACATTTTAAGTGGTTGGGTCCTGTAGTGATTACCTTAAATGTCAGAGATACTTTGACTTTCAAGGGGCGACTTATAGATCCAAAAAATGTAATTGGTCAAGGTCATAGGGCTTAAGTGGAACCCCATGGTCCTTATATACTTGTAGACTAGGTACATATACAGATACAGTTATACCTGGTGTATCAACCATACTTATATGGTTGGTCCAACTGGATTTGGTACCCATAGTGCTTCCCATTGAGAACATGTAATCAACAGTAGATGCAGTGACCTTTAACAGTCTTAAACTGAATGAAGTGAAGCATAAAAGGAAAGGTATTTGAAACAAAAGGAGGCCTACAAGCCTACCTCTGATCATAAGCTTATTTTACCCTAGCTCCTTAAATTCTGTATATCAACCTTGGTGTCAGGGAAAATGTTTTTGACAACTAACCATAATCTTTATTCTCTTTTCCTGGCTTTTTGCTCTGCTAGTTGAAAACCAGGTTGCTGAGCTCCTTGGGCATTCAAGCCAGGAAATCAAAGGGAATGACTTTTTAATTCTTTGGGAGAAGTATATATCCATACATAGGCCATTCCTGAGTAAATTTCTTGACAATCCTGTTGTTAATTTAATGTATATAATGTGTATATAAAATATTACCAAGTCACATACAGTGTTTAGAAAACCTTAGGGTGCTTGTAGACATGCAGAGATGCTGCTCCAATGTGCTGTAATTATAGCACGTCAGAGCAGGCTTGATTAACCAAGCCTGCTGGACCATGTTAATTAGCGCTGTCCAGCAGCCTCTGTGTCTCATATATTCATCATCCCTGCACTTCAAAATGGCGGCACGGGCACTATAACTACAGCTTGTTGAACAAGCTTTAGTTAAAGCGACCCTGCCACCATTTTAAAGCACAGGATACAGAATATATGAGATGCTGCGGATACGTTAATTAGAGTGGCTCTCAGAGCTTCTCTAATTAAAGCACCCCCTCCTACCCTGGGAGCACATATAAAGATGCCCTTAGAGAGCAGATCAAGATCTGTCACAGTGGTATCCTCTAATATTATGTTGCCATGCTTATACCGCCACGGTACATCATTAACATGACATAATGTTTAACTGTAATGTCACATGACATTAAATTCAGAAGAGCTGGAGAGTTTGCAGTAATTCTAGTTAATTTATCAACTATCTTCTGTAATGAATCATGTGTGAGAGAAACATCCTTCACTCAACCTGAAATTGGAAAGAGCATGAGCAACTTCAGTCATACCTCTGGAGCCCTGTGATACTCTGAAAAGAACTGCATATGATTCTAGACTTAATTTTTTGTATCTAGATCCCATAAGTATTAATGTGAGTTACATGTTTGTAGGAAAAATGGCCAGCCCACAGTATGTGTCCCTGTTTTAAAAGTTTCAGATTTTACATTTTCACACTTCACACATTTTACTTCAAGAGGGAGTAAAGCCAAAAAGTTTACAGTCAACATTGTTTTGTCAGGAACGTCGCAAACGCCAGCAGGTACAAGTGCTTCAAAAGCAGAAGGAGACTTCAGAGAAAATCGCAGCTCGGGCTTTTGCACAATGTTACCTGGCTGATCTCATTCCTTCAGTTTTCAGCAGCCTTCGTGAGAGTGGATATTTCTATGATCCTGTAGAAAGAGGTTGGTACAATCCTTTACTTACACAACTCAAACAACCACAAAGCTCAGTGTCACTCAAGTTTACAAAGCCTTTCTTATCCTTTACTATTGGTTACACACATATAAATAATAAAACTACATTTCATTTACTGTTTACATTTGTAAATGGGCAAATTGTTAGTTCAGAAAAAATGCCATTTCTAAAACTAACATTACTGGTCACCCATATGCAAATGCATCATATTTGTGTCAGCAAGAGCTTTCATCTTTTTTTTAGTGGAAAGCGCTAGATTTGGAGAATTTTAAACTTACAACTTAATGTAAGTGAAAAGCAGAATTTGATAGGACACAGGGAGTGTGGAAGCATTGGTTGGTGTAACGATATTGATATTACTGTTGTGTTGTTGTTTTTATTGCTGTAGTGCATAGGAGCCTCAGTCCTGTATCAGGACTCCACTGAGTCAGATACTGTACAAATATAGAACAAGAAGCTGCCCCTATCCCAATGAGCTTAAAATGAGAAACAAAATTTTTCTTGGCTAGATTTCCAATTTAAATATAGTTAAGGTTACTGGGGACTGACAGAAATTACCAGTTTCTTCTATCTGGCCTCAGCCTCTCTCTAATTGCTTAATTCCTCACCCCTGTTGTTCCCAACCCTTCATCTCTTCTGCTTCTGCAGGGTGGGGGATAGTAGTCTCCTGCTTCCCCTGCACATGGTCTCATTGTGCAGGGTTAGGGTAGGCACTAAACTTGGCTTCTGTGGCACAAAAACTCTGTCACTGCCGCACCTATGCTGTGCTTCTTGAAAAAATGTCTCCAGAGCTAGCAGGCCAGCTGCTTTCATGAGCTGCAAAAATTTACCTAAGAACTCCAGAGAACGGAGCCTGCTGATATAATAATCTTTCTCTGGCAGCTAGGGTCAGTCATCAAGTCCAGTAATTACAACTTGAAAAGGATGGCCAAGTGCCCAGTCAGTTCAGTGAACCATTCAGCCTCTTTGGCAATGCTATTAGAGTTAGCCTTCTTCCCATTCAAACTGCTCCCTTCACAAATAAGATTTTATATTAGAAAATCTAATTTTCAAATCTAAAATATAATCATGTGCGTGGCCTGGGGAGTTTCAAAGCTAATTCAAAAGAAAGCAACAATTATGTGGTTTCAAAGTCTAACCTTTCCGGTCCTTAGAAGTGAAACATTTTGGCAAACCTGCCATTATAGGTCTAGAGGGAAAATGGTGTTGAAAATACATATGATCTATTTTTCTTCCTTGTGCCATTGAAATCACTGCATTTAACAGAAGACATGTTCACTGCCTTTTTTGAGGGATGTGTGTGTCAAATACGGGCTCATTGACCTTACAAAATTTACTCTACCATTACATAGTTTTATAACACAGTGGCTAGTCAAGGTTGGCTAACCAGAGGCATGGCCAGCTTCTGTGTGGCATCCAACAGATGAGAGCAATAGATCAGGTAGTGAGCATAGGGCAAGGAACAGAAAGTAGAGCAGTAGATCAGGGAGGGGAAGAGTGCAGGCATGCCTGCCAAAGTGGATGGCTCCCAGTGGCTTAGTCTCTATTATAACGTGACTTAATCTAGGCAGCTGAGTATCCCATCCTGGTTATAATCTTACAACTGACCTGATCAAATCAGACCTGTAACATGGTTTTCTTAATGTGGTTATTACAGCTTGCTTTATCATGTGTAGATAGAAACAAACAGCATTGGAAAATAGCTGGATTGTAACTGGCTGCCTAACTATAGTTACAGTTGTAATGTATCAGAAACATTAGGATTCCACCTTGTTTTAAAAAGAAGCATCTGTGGAAGGTAATTCAGAATGAAACTTCAGTTTTTTCTTCCTAATTAACTGCAGTAACAAAGCTACCTTCAGATATGGGATGGATGTGAAAAGGGAAGGGGAAACTGAGACTAGAAGAAATTTGTAATCACTCTTGAAACCCTTTGTAATAAGGTCACTGGTCCATTCCCAGTCCATGGTAACTGAGAGCCAGAGTTTCTACCAGGAATTATGTTTATACAGTTGGGTGAATGCAAAAGAGGGCATGCTTATCCCGTAGTGTGTGAAAAGGTACACATGAATATAGGCTTCTGCTTTCTGACACAAAATTAGGCCCTCAATATCACTAACTTCCAATGGCACGTCCTTGGTTTACATAGCATGAGTTGCTAATCTCTGAGCTATAGTAGGTTGGCATCCATATTAAAATAATTCCACTGTGTGCCCATTTTGCTGGTTACAAGTGCCTGAAAGCCAGGGCTTCCAGTTTTCAAGAAATTTCTTTTCTTTTATTTTTTCATTTTGTTTCAGTTAAAAGCAGACTAAAGCAATCTCTAGGTATCCAGAAACTCCCCCAAATTGCAAGGGGAGCAGGTCACAGGATCCTTGGCTCTAAAGCTGATGTCCCAGCATACTGCCTGAAGTCAGGGACCAGCAGCTTGCATAGTCCCCGGCCCTGGAGCATACTTGCCAGGTGTGTTTGCCCCAAGATGAGGGACACAACAGCTCCCAGCATTCCCAGCCCAAAGCAAGACCCACCAGCAGGAGTTCATGAAGGCGGAGATCTTTCAAATTAAGTACTGTGGCTTCAACAAACCAGTGTTATTCCATCACTTTTACTTCCTGGTATAAAAAGACTAGCCTAGAACTGAGCAGTCATCAAAGCGAACCACCTTCTCAGCTCTAGAAATGGTCCATTCTTCCTGATTTTAGTCACTTTGATGGAGCACTGTGCACTGCACTTCAGATTATTCTTCTGGGGACAGAGGATATAGTTCTACAGTACCATCACTCCTTCCTTCAGAAATAGTGCATTTACTTAATGATAAAAAGAGGATGGTTCTGATAAGCATGAGATAAGTAAAATATGGAAAAAAAAATGTAAGAAACACTGCCAAAATCTTAGTGCTCTGGCTTGCTGCTTCAAAACAAAAATCCTAAGGTGTATATGAATTGAATGAAAAGACTATCTGGCTTAAAGTTCTAAGTAGTGAACTGGAATTTCAAACTTGAAATACATTTTTATTTTCATCCCATATAATAATTACAGCAAGCTTAACAATTTGACCTCATAAGTTATAGAATCATAGAAAGTTAGGGTTGGAAGGGACCTCAAAAGGTCATCTAGTCCAACATTTCTCAACCTGTGGGTCGTGACCCAAAAGTGGGTCACAAGAATATATGAAAGGGTCACAAGCAAACTTTAAAAATGGATTCTTCTTTGAAAGACAAAAATGTGGGAAACCAGAACTTTTCCCTTGCAGGCTGACAGAGTTCCAGCCTGCAAAGGGCTGATTGGGGCCCTCCATGCCCCACACACATCCCCGCCTGCCCCACACATCCCTGCCCTGCCCGACACACTGGGGGCTCGGTGCTGGTGGCAGGGATCAGTGGGTCAGGAATGAGGGGCACTGGGTTGGGTCTAGCCATTGATGTTTACAAGTAGGATCTGGTACAAAAAAGTTAAGAACTAATCTAAACTCCTGCTCAAAGCAGGATGATCTCCAACTATATCAACTCAGCCAAGTCACCTGCCAACAGTCACATGCTTAACTCAAACTTTGTGCTTGTCCTTTGTTCTTCTTGTAGGTCAGTCTAACCGTGCATGCACTGCACTTGTGAATTTAGTTAGCCCTTTGATGTGCCTATTTTTGAAACACATTCTGAGATTTATTATGATTACTTGCAGGTAGGTAGAGGCATCTAGCTTACAAGAAGAGAGAGGCTGTCTGGTCCATATATGATTCTGTATATAATGTTGCTTTTTATTTTGTTAGTGAAACCTGTTCTAAAGGTCACTTCCAGTAAATCAAGTGCTGCCATTATTGGCCACTTAAAAGTTATCCCTAAGGTTTTAAGCACAATTCTGCATGCACATTAGCTACAGGCCGCTTCCTATGGCATGCAGCTAACTTTTCTCTGGGAAATTGACACTTTTGAAGGTTTCAGTGTGTTAGAGGACTTTGCTATCAAGGTGATTGCACCACAGTGTTGAGTCTCATTGAAACATCATGTTGCAACATAATGACTTTCCCTGGGTCCTGAAAATACTAGTTTTTGTACAGCACCAATCACTGGGTAGGTGTAGAAACTATGAGAGATGTAAATAGGATTTCCAGTTGTTTTGCTAAAATTGGATGATCTTGGCAATACCAGGATAAGCAGGAACTCCTTAGAAGGAATTACACACTTTGGGCAGGCCAAAGACCAGCAAGCTCCTTTGAATACATTTATATTCAAAGGAAAACTATTGTTATCCTAATTGTTCAATCTTTTTCACCTGATTAGATGCAAGTTCTAACTTGGGGCTTGAGCCTGCAAGGGACTGAGCACCCTCAACAACTTCTGAAGTCAGTCTCAGTTGATGAGAGACTGAAATTATATAGAAACCTAACTCCCAAATTAGTAGGAGGATTTGGGCCTTAGCTTCTTGTAAAATCAGGCTTTAACAGAGCAAGCATCTTCTGTGCTTTCCATTTATCTATGACTAGCATCCTTACATTAACTAGAAAATATATCCCAAGAGTTTATAAGTTATCATTAATAAAAATGCATATTTTTGTTTTCCTTTCCTAAATGTTAAAGATATTGAGATGGATTTCCTTCCATGGTTGATGAAAGAAGTAGAAAAGACATTGGAGAAGAAGATTTTGGGAAGAACAATGCTTGATTGTAAGTTACGAAGTCATGAAATATAAACTATCTTGCTTAATTTCTTTCAGTGAAAACTCATGTAATAACTGCAGGATTATTATGAAATAAGGCAGCAGATGATTTAATGGAGTTAAGTGAGAAGGTGGATGATATTTTTGCATTTTCCTTTTTTTAAAAACCTTTTTATTGTTGGAACATTTTCATGCTTACTTTATGCTGCAGTTTTGCAATTGAGGCTCAGCTGAAATAATAGAAACAACAGACCTGATTCAACACCAACCCTCTGCTGGTTGTATTTAGTGTCTGGCAGACCTCTGCCAGACGCTAAATACAACCAGCAGAGGTATGCTTCTGCCAGAAGCATTGGATATATTTAGTAGACATAAAGCGTTAATGAATGGTAATTGTTTTTCCTGTTTTAATAGCTTTCATTCCTTATTTATTACGTGGAAGACAAACTGTAGTCTTTTACTGAATTCTCCCGTTGTGTTTATGCTTCTGTTGCAGGAAAAGAAGCATCTTTTGTTCCTTAATTTGAAAAGCACATAAACTGTTTAAGGCCATCTGTTTGTAACAAAAGGCCTCTGATTTCACATGTGTAAATTACCCCAACTGTGTAGTAACTGCTTATCCTAAATGAATGAACAAGAAAAGGAAACTATAATCTTTGGCCATAATTGGCTGAAACTTCAAACAATCATAAGTTTCTAGTTTTTATTTTAGAATTGAATAAGTATTCTGGAAAAATGTTAACCAGTCAGATATTTCATAGAGGTAACTGCTTGGCACCTCAGCAGTCAGTAAAAGCATCCTTGCTGAGTGACGCATTAAAGTTAGGAACATTTAAAAAAAACTGAGCTGTATAGGCTGCTATTGAACTGCACAGACAAACCTAATGATCAATAGCGATATCAGAAAATAAACACACACTTATGATGAATCCGTATCAGTGTCTGTAGTCCCAGATTAGATTAAATTGATTTTTAAACTCATATAAGATCTTCATTCGTATTCCTTTTTTTTTCAAATGTCAGAATGATGTTACCTGAGTGTCTGTGCATTCCTTTCTATTTAGATATCTTTTAAATTTAACCTTACCTCCATATTTTCTTATATTTTTAGATGATTACAACTGCTCTGTTAGTTATTTTGTTCTAAATTACTTTCAGTCAAGAGTTCTTGAGTGGTAATTTCCTTATCTGTTTTTTTTTAATTATTAAAATGGTCACATCTGAACACTAAACAGGCCCCCTAGAGAGACTGTTACTATGTGATAATTTAATACTGGGCAGGCATGTATTGCCCCCCTATATCTGTCATTAATATAATATAGTTTAGCTTAATTTAACTTTAGGCCCAGTATGTTCTGGCTGCTTTGGGCCACTTTGGACAGCACTAAGTGACTGGAATGTGCTGACTTGTTAAACAGGCTTACCAATAGCTTGGTCATCCTGCCCTCTTCATTTCCTTACTTATACTAGTTTTTACCCTCCGATTTTACAGTTGAGTAGATCTGTTCTTTTAAGAAACTTCTAAAAATCAGTGCTTTGCAGTTCTTTTGTGGTGAGAAACAATGTGTGAACTGGACCATTTGGGACAAAAAAGGATCAAAACATCAAATAGAATACTTCATTTCTTATTGGATCCATTCTTAATTAATTTCAACTCAAAAACTAATTAATGGAATTCCTTGCAAGTTCCTAGCAAATTTATTATTTGCTCAAAGAGTAAGTGTTACAGTTCAAAGAAGAATATACTGCATCCTTCACAACAGTGAGGATGAATCCCTCGTTGAAGTGCAAAACTCAATTCAGCCTTGATTACAGAGCTTCAATTTAACAACCATCTTTTATTGGTTCAGTTTTGTTCTGCTGTCACTTCTCCTGTTCTGCTGTTTAGTAACAACTACTTCTCTCATTTCAGCCTTGATTCGTGTGGTGGTTGAAAAGAGGTTGGATGCATTTGATCAGGCAAACACTTCACAAGCAAAAGTTTCTGGACACACAGAAGTTTTTGGTCAGGCAGATCAAGCATCTAGTCAGGTATCATCAAGTCAAACCTCTGTTCAGCTAAACATGTCACATCAAACAGAGACTTGGGAGCCTGAAACCAAGTGATGACCAAACCAAACATCCGGTAATCAGGTATTGACAAATAAACCATGGATCTCAGCAAAGAAAGAGGTATTAAGGGCTACCTGTAGATATTGCCTTGTCAAAGATACCAAATAAGTACAGAGGTGTAGCAAGGTCAGTGAGCGCCCAGGGTGCGGGGAGAGAGGGTGAGCATATGACAACCACTGGAGACTTGGAGAGGGGAGCAGGGTGTGGATAAATGGAAGGGAAGTTTTACTTGCCTGTGCTACTGCTGCCACTGGAAGCCAATCTTTTTGCCCCATTCACTGTCCCTCCCTCCCAGATACATACATATTGTGTTCAGGGCTGCATCTGTTCTAGCAAAGACCCTCAGTGGAGTCTTTGCCCCACTTGCCCTCCACCTGCAGATACATTGCTTGATTGCAGCACTGTGTTGCCCAGCTCCTATGGTGGGGCAAGAGCAGCAAAGACTCTCAGTGGAGGAGAGAGGGGGATTCTGGTGCCTTCTCATAGCACCCAGGACTGCTGCCCTGGTTGCAGCTACTGAATAAATATAGCCTAAAACAAATTTTAATGCTAATTTGATGACACAAGAACCCAGGTGTGTTATAGTCTAAAAAAAGAGAAGGCTATGAATGAAGTTGAATTTCCATATAGGCACTACAGAACTGCAGGCCCTTTAACTTGAAAGGTCGTGCTGTTTCACACTCCATACTTCATGCGAAGCGGAAGGGAAAGGATGTTGAAGGTACATGTTTACTGCCACAGACCACACTAGGAAGTACTCCTAAAAAGTACTCCTAAAAAGCATGCCAGGACTGCTTCCTCAATGCTACCACCCAAACCAGATGTTATGTAGCTGTGTTATTGTGACACTGAGAAAGCGAGTTTATTGTTAGGCACCCAGTACCACACTAGTTTAGCTATATTACACCCATCTTGGGAGGTAGTCTGTGTGGCGCAGCTATGTCATTCCTCATAGCAGCACTATCATCCTTTCATAGATTCATAGATGAAGGGTCAGAAGGAACCTTGTAGACCTTCTAGTCCGATCCCCTCCTCTGGGCAGGAGAGAAAACTGGGCTCAAATGGCCCCAGCTAGGTAAACATCAAGCCTCCTCTTAAAGACCCCCAAAGTAGGAGCCAGCACCACTTCCCTTGGAAGTTGGTTCCAGATCCTAGCTGCCCTGACTGTGAAGTAGTACCTTCTAATGTCTGGTCTAAACCTACTCTCTAACAACTTATGGCCGTTATTCTTTGTTACTCCGGGAGGCGCTTGGGGGAACAAGGTCTCTCCCAATCTCCACTGGTCCCCCATACTAAGTTTACAGATGGCCACAAGGACCCCCTCTACCTTCTCTTGCGAAGGCTGAACAGGTTAAGGTCCCGTAGCCTCTCCTCATAGGGTCTGCCCTGCTGTCCCCGGATCGTGCAAATGGCCTTCCTTTGGACTCTCTCAATGCTGTCCACATCCCTTCTGAAGTGCGGCACCTAGAACTGGATGCAATACTCCAGCTGTGGCCTGACCAGTGTCGCATAGAGAGGGAGGATCACCTCCTTGGCCCTGCTTGTGATGCATCTGTGGATGCACGTGCTTTCGAGAAGGGAGTTCCCCAGCCTATAGGTATGCTGCTGGTTCCTACTGCCTAAGTGCAGCACCCTGCACTTGTCAATATTGAATCCCATCCTATTTCCATTTGCCCACCCCTGTAACCTGTCCAGGTCCTGCTGTAATCTGTTCTTCCCTTCTAGCGTGCCCACCTCACCCCAAATCTTGGTGTCGTCTGTGAATTTAAACAGGGTGCTTTTCACCCCGTCATCCAAGTTGCTAATAAAGAAATTGAACAGTGCAGGCCCAAGGACCGGGGGACTCCACTGCCGGGGTACTGGGGGACTCCACTGCCCACTTCCCTCCAGGTCGAATATGACCCATCCACCACCAGTCTCTGAGTACGATTCCTCAGCCAATTTGCAATCCATCTGACTGCGTACCCATCAATGCCACAGTCGCCTAGCTTTTTAATGAGAATGGGGTGGGAGACAGTGTCAAAGGCCTTCCTGAAATCCAAAAAGACTACATCCACCGCGACACCTGCATCCAATGATTCTGTGACCTGGTCATAGAAGGCAATCTATAGAAGGACCTGCCCCTAATGAACCCATGCTGGTTGTCCTTGAGCATCATCCCTGCTGCTGGCCCATCACAGATGTGCTCCTTGATATTCTTCTCAAAGAGCTTCCCCAGGATTGAAGTAAAACTAACGGGCCTATAGTTGCCCAGGTCCTCCCTCTTCCCTTTTTTAAAGATGAGGATCACATTGGCCTTCTTCCAGTCATCCGGCACCTGGCCATAGCACCATGAGTGCTCATAAAGCCGTGCCAGGGGCCCCGCGATAACCCCTGCCAATTCCCTCAACGCCCTGGGGTGAAGAGCATCTGGACCTGCTGGATTTGAACACATCCAGCCCCTCCAGAAGTTCTCTAACTCAGTCCTCCCTGACTCTAGGCCTGGCAGAGTTTCTCCTGAGTCCATCCTGAATCTCGGTAGGGGAGTCCTGATCCCTGCACAAGAAAATGGAGGCAAACAAAGTGTTAAAGAGGTCTGCTTTCTCCTCTGGTGCAACCACGAGATTGCCAAGCATATTCTGCAGGGGCCCCACATTACCCGGTGCCTTCTACATACTCCCTATGTATTTAAAAAAGAACTTTTTGTTATCCTTGATGCTAGCCCTAGTTCTGTATCTGCCTTAGCTTTCCTAACAGCCCCTCTACAGACCCAAGCGGTGGAGGTATACTCCTCTTTGGTGATAGCCTCTCGCTTCCACTGGGTGTACACCTCCTTTTTGGCAATCAGGCATTCCCGAATGCCCTTGGTGAGCCAGGGGGGCTTTTGGGCACTCTTGCCCCCTTTGCTTCTCATTGGGATTGTCACCCCTTGGGCTCTGAGTATCGTCTCCTTAAGGAACACCCACTCATCTTGGGCACCCAGTTCTCCTACTCTACAGGACCCCAGTGCCTCTCCCACTAATCTCCTCAACTCATTGAAGTTGGCCCTCTTGAAGTCAAGGGCTACTGCCTTGCTGCAGGCCCTTGACACCCTGCACTGGATGGTGAATTCCAGCAAGCGATGATTCCTATCACCCAGGTGGTTGAGGACCTGGAGTCCCCTCACCAGGTCGTCACCTGTGGCCAGGACCAGGTCCAGCAGGGCATTCCCCCTGGTGGGACTGTGCACCTCCTGGGTTAAGTGGAGGTCCTGTATTTCGGCAAGGAACATTCGTGAGTGATCAGACCTGGCTGACTGCTCTTCCCAGCTGATGTCCAGGTAATTTAGATGACCCGTGACAACTATATCCCTTGCCTTAAGTGCCTTCGCAAGCTGACCCAAGAATTCATGGTCCAGCTCTTCCCCTTGGTTGGAAGATCTGTAGTAGACCCCCACCGTTAAGTTCCTTTCTCCACGACCCCCCTGTATCCTGACCCAGAGCACTTCAGCCTGCCCCTCCTCAGACCCCATCCTGCTGGTTGAGGATGTGTATTGCTCTTTGACGTAGAGTGCCACACCCCCACCTTTCCTCCCCATTCTATTCCTCCTGTATAGTCTATAGCCCCTAATGTTAACTGCCCAGTTGTGGGATGAATCCCACCAGGTTTCTGTGAGCCCTACTACGTCCGGGTTTGAACTAGCTGTCCGGAGGGCAAGTTCGTCCTGCTTATTCCCCATACTATGAGCACTGGCGTAGAGGCATTTAAGGTCTTGAATTCATATGTGTGCCACCCCCCAATTCCCAGGACTATCTGGACCCCTGTTGCTTACCTGGGTACTCCGTGTGCACATCACCTGTCTTGGTTGGGAGGTGTCCTCAAGTCTTCCTGTGGCCCCATCCCCTGCCAAAGCTAGTTTAAAGCACATTGCACAAGATCAGTATTTCATAATACTGACTTGCCTTAACTGCACATTAATATTCTTAGCAGATGTCATGCTTTACGGAAGCAACCTGCTGATATTTTCAGTCTCAGAACTAGGATCTCTTTATTTTCCTTTTTAAAAAAAAATCAACCACCAAATGTAAATACCACATTTAGTCCATTCCACTTTGGAGACACAACATACCTCTTTATCCTGTTTGTTTTAGCTTCTAAAACATCATATATTCCTCTAAAAACAATACCATCAAAGAATTCTCTAGGAATATGAAGGCTGAATTTTAAAATGCTGGGTGTCAAACATTAAGTTTCCATGTGCTTCTGATTAGATACACAGTGACATTACTAGAATTCCTAATGTATATGGCAGTCAATTTAATTCTCATTGATAGTTTTTTTCAGGACAGGTAGGGTGCGTCCCCACAAACACACATGTGCAGGGGCACGCATTTCCCACAGGACAAATAGCAGTGGCACATATTTGTGCCTCCCAGGACAGCAGTGGGTCCTGGCTTGCTGGGGCAGCAGTGGTGCTGCTCAGAGCTTGGCCACCAGCCAGGCTCCAGTTTGCTGCTATGTATGCCACACCAAATTTTTTAGCAGCAGGGGGGTTTTTTTGACACCAGGATCTCCCAGTGTCAAGAAAACTCACCATGCTGCTCATTTACAGTGCAGTAAATGGGCGCAAGTGTGCCATGTGTGCCATGCGCCTCAAAAACAGCTTTGAGGTGCTGCAAACTACATGCATGCTTGTGGGGACGTGCACATAGAGGACAAAAAAAATTGTTAAGCTCAGTTTAAACTAGTAAGGAAAAGTTAATTATGTCTGTGTCTCAATGTTTAATGTTTTTGTCATAAATAAAAATATGTATGAAAATGTAAATGCTGTCATATTATTTGATCAGGGATTAGGGACTTAATTTATAATATATATCCTTTTAAAGGGTAAATTGAATTTACTCTGATTCACCACTAGATGTCAGTGGTACCATTGCAAGAAAATACATTGTACCTTTTGTTAAAAGTTCTTCTCACATATACATACTTGCATTCACACCTACTGTTTGTAGCTTCCAAAGCTGTGGGCGGTTGAAGCTGCTTGCACATTATTTCAGCATTTGTCATATAGAGTATATATTGAATCTAGGTAAAATCCTTCATATCAAGTTGTGTGAGAGTTTTGCCAGAATCTTCAAGGATTTAGATTATAAATCAACAATGACAGACCCTCCTCCCTAAATATATAGCCCTGGGTGAATAATATAAAGGGTTGGTATAAGGAACCTTTGTTGGATGTTTGGATGTGTTCCAGTCAGGAAGGAGTGAAGTATCATTCTGATACCCTCAGGTCCAATAGGAAAACCCTATAGATGAATTTTTGGTGAAGTTCTACATTCCCAATCCTAACAAACAAATATGGTTGTAGCAGGAGCTGAGGAGGGTGAGGATACAAGGAACATGCTAGGAAGGGTCTAACCACAATTCTGGCCCTTTCCTGTCTGATGCACAAACAAGAGCACTGGATTCCTTATCTACAGAAGTAGTACAGATCAGACTCATAGAATTCTGGGGAGAGAGCAAAATGCCCTTCAAAAAATGGTACAATGGAGCTGTTCACTAAGATTTCAGAATCAGTGTCTGCCTCTGAAAATGTCTTCTTTGCCTGTCTCCCCGCACCTTACACAGCAGTGGCAGAGGCTTAAAGCCACAGTCTAAGGTCTCACTGAGGTTTTCTTGTTAATTGTGCCATCCTGTTGATTCATTGTTAAACATTCCAGGTACTGACGCCAAATACGCCTGTGCTGCTGCCACATGTACCTGGCACATACTGATTGAAGTGCCAACATTCGGAGTGGAACACTGCTTCTTCAAACCTCTGCGTTCCATTGCAACAGAGCTGCTTAACCATTAACTTTGCCAATGAAAATAGCCCCACCTTGACAAAACTCTGTTCTCTTGCAGTTTTCTCAATGGTGCTGTATACAGAGGCCAGCCTGCCAGGCCCAGATCTAAAAGCGAGATCTTAAAAATAAAATGCTAATAGAAAATGCAGTATTATTCATTATGTAATATAAAAGCGTACCCTAGGCATTGGGCAGGGAGGCACTTAGAGTTATCCAATAGGAAACACTGGGCACATCAACACAAGATGCTTAACTGCACAGTAGCCTAAAAACACTGCACAGTAGCATACCAGGCAAAAAATGTGCTAATATGCTACTTCGCAGTAGTATTCAACTACTGCGCAGTAAGTGTCACTAAAAATCCATGAGCCAGCATTACTGTGCAGTAGCACAAGTTCCAGCACATTGATTTAGCACTTGGCTAACCAAGTACTAAACTTAATGTGCAGTAACCATGGCACATTAATGAACAGGTAGATGTGCCCACTCAGTAGTGAGTCTGAACTCTTGCCCCATTCTGGATCTTAAGGGCCTGAATCAGGTCTACACACTTGGGACCCAGAGCAACTCAGCCTCATCTGAGGGTGATTACATAAATGATTTGTGGCAAGACCCATTGCTCATGTAATGGCCTAATACACCATTGACCCAGGAAGTGAGTTTTAAGCTGCCCTAGCCAAAGCAGATTCATAACCACATCTCCCCCTCCCAGGAGAGCTCTCTAAGCAGCAGGCTATAGAATAGTCTCAATATGGGTACATATCACCCCTCTTAAAGCTAAGCCAAGATTCTTGGAACCTGAAGGAGAATGAGCGAAAGCAAGCCTGACCCCATAGCCTAGAGAGGAGGGCACTCCCCTGGGAGAGTGAAGTCATGGGCTATGGTCCCTCTTCTCAGGGTAATTTCTGTTTTTTAAACATTGACTCTCTAATGTGCATAGCTAGTCTAGGGATCAGGGACAAGAATTGCAGATTTCCTGCCACAGGAATGACTACACAATCAGGCTCCTTCTCCCTTGCTCCCTTTATGGCTCTGTGACTTGCATTCTTGCTGTCATTGATCCAGCATCACCAAGAGTGGTGGATAGGAACCCTCCGTACCCAAACTAAGCAATAGCCTGCTAGTTGGGGCAACTCCTGGAAAGTGGTGCATTGTAAGCTTTAAGAGGGGTGTCTTTAAGAGCACTAGTCTTTTCTTCCTGGGCAGAAGGCTGTTTTGCAAAAGATCGTAGAATCATAGAAATTTAGGGCTGGAATGGACTTCAGGAGGTCATCTAGTCCAAACCCCTGCTCAAAGGAGGGTTGTCCCCAACTATAATATCCCAGCTAAGGTTCGTCTATCTGGGTATTTAAAGCCTCTAAGGATGAAGTTTCCACTACCTCTCTGGGTAACCTGTTCCAGTGCCTTACTACCCTTCTAGTGAGAAAGTTTTTCCTAATATCTAACCTAAACTTCCCTTGCTGCAACTTGAGACCATTGCTCCTTGTTCTGTCATCTGCCACCACTGAGAACAGTCTAGCTCCATCTTCTTTGTAACTACCTTTCAAGTAGTTGAGGGCTGTTGGTAAATCCTCCCTTCTCCAAATTAAATAAGCCCAGTTCCCTCAGCCTCTCATGCTCAATCATGTTCCTCAGGCCTCTAACCACTTCCATTGCCCACCACTGGACTCTCTCCAACTTGCCCTCATCCTCTCTATAATGAGGGGCCGAAAAGTGAACACAGCAGTTGAGGTATGGCTTTACCAGTGTCAAATAGAAGGGAATAGTCACTTCCCTCACTCTACTGGTAACACTCCTGCTAATGCAGCCCAGTATGCCATTAGCCTTCTTCACAAGGGCACAGTGTTGACTCATACTCAACTTATTGTCCACTGTAACCCCCAGGTCATTTTCTGCAAAGCTACTGCTTAGCCAGTCAGTCCCCAGCCTATACTGGTGCATGGGATTGTACCGTCCTAAGTGCAGAACTTCACACTTTTCCTTATTGAATCTCAAGAGATTTTTTTGTACTCCAATTCTCCAATTTGTTGAGGTATCTGAATCCTAGCCCTACTCTGCAGCATATCTACTTTTCTCCCCACCTTGGTGTCATCTGCAGACTTGATGAGGGTGTACTCCTTCCCATCTTTGAGATCGTTCATGAAAATATTGAACAAAACCAGCCTCAGGACCAAGCCCTGGGGCTTTCCACTTGATACCGTCTGCCAACTAGACATCAAGTCATTAATTACTACTCTCTGAGCCCAATGATCCAGCCAGTTTTCTATCCACTTTACAGTCCATTCATCCAACCCATACTTCCTTAACTTGTTTACAAAAATATTGTGGGGGACTGTATCAAAAGCCTTGCTAAAGTCAAAATATATCACATCCAGTGCTCTCCCCACATCCACAGAGCAAGTCATATCATCATAGAAGGTAATCAGGTTGGCCAGGCATGACTTGCCGTTGGTGAATCTTGCTGACTGTTCCTAATCACCTTCTTGTCTTCCAAGTGCTTAGAAATTGATTCCTTGAGGACCTACTCCATGATTTTAGCAAAGACAGAGGTGAGGCTGACTGATCTGTAATTCCCTGGATCTTCCTTCTTCCCTGTCTTTAAAGATGGGCACTATATTTGCCCTTTTCCAGTCATCCAGGACCTCTTCCAATTGTCAAAAGGTTTCAAAGACAATGGCCAGCAGCTCTGCAATCACATTGGCCAACACCCTCAGCACCCTCATGCTGGTACACATCCAGCTTTTCTAAATAGTCCCTAATCTGTTCTTTCACCACTGTCAGCTGCTCACCTTCGTCCCCAAACTGTGCTGCCAGGTGCAGTAGTCTGTGAAAACTGAGGAAAAAAGGCATTGTGTACTTCACCTTTTCCACATCATCTGTTACTAGGTTGCCTCCCCCATTCAGTAAGGGACCCAGACTTTCCCTGATCTTCCTTTTGTTGCTGACTTACATGTAAAACCCTTCTTGTTACCCTTCACATCCCTTGTTAGATTCAAGGCCAATTGTACCTTGGCCTTCCCAGTTTCATCCCTGCATGCCTGAGCAATACTCTTATACTCTTCCCTGGTAGTTTATCCAAGTTTCCACTTCTTGTAAGCTTCTTTTTTGTATTTTAGCTCATTGAAGAGTTCCCTGCTAAGCCATGTTGGTCTTCTGCCATACTTGCTAGTCTTCCTGCACATCAGGATGGTTCGTTCATGTCCCCTTAGTAAGGTTTCAAGATGCACACAGATTCCTCTTGGTGTGTTTTTACAAGTTACAGTGGCCATGGGTCCTGTGTTCTTCATTAAACTCAATGCTGGTAGTGTGAGCTAGGCATGTTTTGAAGCACACCTAACAAATCAGAACTCTGCTAAAAGTCTGGTGGACTTAATGTGGTTCTCCTGCTCCACTGTGGATCACACAAGAGCAGCTGTGGCAATTAAAATGCCTGGCTGCTCAAACTGGGGTGCTTTTGTGCATTCTGGAAAGTCCAAGTCTACACGACTAAGGATCTCTTCAGGGAAAAAATAGGCATTAAATGAATATAGACACCTAAGGATTTTGTGTGCACTGTATTGCTTTTTGAGATTCAGGTCCATCAGTTCCACCTGAATCCCATTTAGGTGTCTATTTTACTAACCTGGATTTGGCCCAACATACTTGGAGCAAGTTGCCTACGTGGGAAAATCATACTGGAATGTGTACTGGATTTTAGCTTCCTTTTTTTTTTAAGTAAGGGATCAACACCATGTCTGCATCCGCCATTATTACATATTTGAGCACATGCGACTTAACAGATTGCTCAGCTCTACGTACTATGTACTAGGTTATCTGAGATCAAAATTGACAGCAGAGATGTGGGTAACCTTTCTGTCTGTATTTCAGTAAGCTCTCCCCTCATGTTTTAAGGCATCCCCAATAAATCAATGTATAATGTTATGTTTTCCAATTATCTCGAGTTTCTTAAAAGTATTACAGTAAGTCTGTTACATATTTGAAGTTAATCAGAGTTTACTATATATATTTCTCTGGACCTTTTTAAATGACAGAATACTTTCTTCTGGGATCACAAGTCCTGTAATAAAATCCTGGCTTCAACTAAGTCAGTTGGAATTTTACCATTGATTTCAGTGGGTCAGTGATTTCACCCTGTTTTTAGCTGCTGATTTTGATGTAACAATCTCCAGTGACTTAGAATAAGTCAGCCTTTATCTATCTTTTCCTACATGAAAAAAATGTTAGGACTTTATACATTAAAACTTGTCTAGGGCTTTAAAACTCTTTGCTAGAATTTTCTATGTTAATATACATTTATTTTATTAATCTTATAATATCTTTACAGGGTACTTCCTATAGCTAAGAAGATTGCTGTTGATCATTTGTGAAAAGATCCAAGCAACCAATATTGAACTGATTGTTTGTTTTGGAAATTGCCCCAAGGGGTAAGCAATCAACTAAAAGATTTTTATTTTTGCTCTGTGCTTTCTTTATTATAAAGGAGGACTTCTTCATGATTATACTTGTAAATAGGCTTTGATATTAATCCTTTTCATACTTGAATTACTGTAAAATGAGCTGATGAGTTCAACTGGATTCATTTAAATATGCTGGGAACATTGGTTTATAGAAAGGCCCTTCTATACCCTTCTGGTAAAGAAATCCTAAAGCTGGTATATTACATCTTATCCTCACATAACATTAAAGTTGAAGTCCATTTTGCATTTGTCTACTAAGCAGCTGGAATATGAGCTTGCGTGCATGTATGTAGAAAACAGAGCAAATTCAGTCAGCTCTAAAAGATGTATTTCTGACATCGGATAAAACAATGGTACTTTTGAAAAAATACATTATGACAAGAGTTTGCTTGTTTATGTGGTTGTAATGCTAATAAAATATCCAAATACTCCAATAAGGTTGGCCTGGGGCAACTTATTCAACAGTGCTTGTTTTTGTCTCCTACAATTACATATTTTTGAAAAGTTACATGAAAATTGCAGCCCATACTTTGTTTTTCCTAGGCAATCAGTTATATAGTACAGTAACATTTCTGCGTCATTAGTGTTTGCAAATACAAGCAAGGATTACATTCAGCAAGCTTGGCATAACTCTTTTGTCTTGCTAGACAAACAGATGTCTACTACTACTAACAGCTCTGTTAACTAAAGCTCCAGATCATTAACATCAAGAATTTCCATCCTATAGTGGTTTGATAATTACAAAGTGAATACAATGAACAGTCACATCTCCACATGGATGGGATGTATTTAAAAATTTGTTTAAAGTAGATTATAATGGTTCTTTCTGAATTTTCTTGGTGTGTAGCTGTTGAGTAGAACAGGAACATATTTGTAACTTCAGCCAGCCTGACAGCTACCCTTCTCTGACTGATTGAGACTCCTTTAATTTATCCATTCCTACCAAAAATATTCATATTTGGTTAGAAATATACTTTCTGCAAACAGGTGCTGTTAAAATATAAAAGAATATGGATTTTAAAAGTGCATGATCATAGTTTAAATGAATTCATTTAAACAGGTTCTTTACCTTATTTGCCCAGTTCCAGCAGCTATACTCTATCATTCCAGACATCATGCATATAGGCATACATATAGGCACCTGTCTCACACCAAACATTCACAACCAGTGTGTTAGAGGCCTGCAGTAGTGACTGTTAAGGGATTACCTGTTGGTAAAGGAGCCATTTGATAAAGAGATCACTGCCCAGGCTAGAATACCTGGATGGAAACAGACTTTACTTTGTGTGTGGTCTTCTGTAGTAGAGAGGTCATGTGCTTCGAACTGTAAGAAAAAAAACCCCTATATTATTATGTAACTTTGAAGTGCACCAATACATCGGTCTATATTGTATCAGCACTGATAAAAGGAAAATTGACATTATCGGCAATCGTTTTTTTGATTGGTGTAGCCGATAATGTCACCAATAAATGCAGCCATGAGTGACTAGTGCCTCCTGAACCTGGGGGTGCACCAGCAGAAGCCACCGATGGCAGTGGCCCTGTCAGAAGGGGCACCAGGCCTACCGACAGCATCATTGTCAGCCATCAAGGGGGGGCACCAGCCCCATCACGGGCCTATGAATTCTGTGTGCACGTGCATAGCCACAGCATGCACGCAGCCAGGAATGCAGCCAGCAGCTTGGAGACTAGTGTCCAACCAGTAAGTCTTTGTGGGGGGGAAGGGGCATGAGGGAGGGAAGGAGCATGGGGGTGCAGCTCAAGGCCCCCACAGTGAGGGAGGGAGGGAGTGGGGTTGGGAGTGGGGCAGGGGCAGGCACTGGCCAGCCAGGGCAGGACAGGGCACAGAACGGAGCTGCAGGCAACTCATCCAGGGGCACACATTGGGAGGGTGGGCTCCCACTGCTGAGTACACCCCAGGGGAGGCATGAGGGGCATGTGCCCCCCAGATTTGGGGTGGGGTGAAGGCAGGCTGCTCGCTGCAGGCTTGGGGCCGGGGACTGCGCTGGCTTCTTCCCAGAAGCAGGAGCTGGACTGGGGTGGCACTCAGGG